GCCTTGGTTGGTCATAAATTGTCCTTCCAATAATATAAAACACACCACTTATTTACAACACGTATGCTCTTCCAAGTAGATCCAACAGCTCATAAAGAACAAGAGCTCCTATGTCATCCCTACTGAGACCACTGCAATAAAGAGCTGTTGGAATTACTCTGTACTCAGTAAGTGCAACCAGATCCAGCAACAGTAGCTTTTATGGGCTTTTTCTCCCCTCCAGGAAAACCTGAGATATTAGTTCAATATTAAAGAGCTGTGATGGTTTTACCCAGAGAGGGGATCTTACTCCTCCTATGCTCCCACTGGTTTTGGGAGTGAAGTTAACACTCACCAAAGAGGGTCAGAATTAGCCTTGTTCAGATGGTTTGCTTTCATAAGGGATACAATTGATTAAAAAGAAGGTTAATTGAATATTATGCAGCTGCCACAGTAGTATAAACTCCAAGCTCTGGCTTACAAACAACATTTAGTGCAGAAGCGTTATTACCAGCTTACAGTTGCAGTAATGAGCCTTTGGATCCCTCTTTATTCCAGGATGGCCAAGCAGTACAAATGCACGTGCTGGCACATGACCTCGGGTGGGCTCCTAGGAAACCCTGGTCCAGTTTAAGTAATAAGTATGTTCTTCCAAGGCACAGATGTCCCCTGACTGAACTCCAAAGTGAAATACCAGCTAAAAGTAGTATTTGATCTAGATTAGAAACCCACTTTAAATGTTTGAAGTAGAAAAGCAGTAGGAGCTGATCTGAGTCTCCAAAGCTTTTTGTCAATAGAAAAGCTCTGAACGATTTCCTTCTAATAATATTACTGCTTTTTTTTTTCTGTAGTTCTTGGACAGTACAGAGGGGTGTGATGTTTATCCAGTGGATTTGAGGACTAAGAGGATCATTAACACATTAATCAACATCTTGTTCACTGGCTCAAGCCCAGGCTGCGTTGAGGGTGACTAAATTGGTGCAAGAGATTCACAGAAGCATGGGATTCATATCATCCTACTGAAGAAGGTATCTAATGTAAGATGGCTACATAGGGTCTCTCTGTAATCAATGAGGAGAATGACAGATGTTTTCCATAGGTAAATCCACTCCATCTTATGCACATAAACAGGAAAGATTAATTCTGTTTTGAGATATGCCAATCTCTTGCCATGACTATGAGAGAACACTGACAATAAGACAAGGAATTGTTCCAGACTTACCTGATTCAACCACTCAGCTGAGCAGGGATCATGCAAGGAGGAAAATAATCATGTCTCCTTCAGTTATTTCTGTGAAACTGCTGGCTTACTTGCACCAAGTGTTGTGGCTAATTCACTGACCAACTGCTTTAGTCAGCAGCTGACTTTATTTCAAACTCAGCTGCTGTGCCCATGAGGATCACCTGTGAATAGCTGCCCCGCTCACCCTTAAAGCCCTAGCTCTGTCACACTAACCCACCTCTATGAAATCAAGTTGAAAATCAGTCTCTTCAGTGGCTGAGCTAACCTGTGCTGCAGTCAAATTAAATCTTTCTCATTAATGGGCTGGACCGGGCACTAACAGGATCATGACCAATGTATCTGCTGCTTACCATATCACTGCTTCCCATCGCATTCATAATTGATTTCTTCTTTCTCCAAACCTAATACTCAGCTTGTTACTGTCATGGCTCATCATAGCCCTTCTGATCTGTCCTACTGGTATCTCCTTTTGGACACTGACTAAGACGGTCAACAAGTCAGTTCTAGTTGACAAATTTCTCCAGCCCTTGCTTTGAGCCCATCTCCTGTGCTGTCCCTGCTGTACTGTGATCCTCCTTCAAACCGCTTCTGCCAAGAGGCAATGACAGGCAGCTGGGCAGCATGGCAGCGCTTGCAGCAGCACTCTGACCTTGCTGCCTCTCCTTCCGTCACCTCCACCCTATTGTTGACTGGAAGATTTTCAAGTCAGGATCATTGCACATCTATGCAGTGACTCACAAACCAGGTGCGTTCAGCTCTCCACCAGCTGTTCCTAAGCTCCACTGAAGTTCAACCAACTGTGTTGGTGTGGCACAGACAGACTAAGACCAACCATCATTACCAATAAAAAGCAATAACAACAGGCACAAGGAATTAAGAAAAAAATTTACTTTTTAATGTACAAAAGGTTTATATACAGGTTCAGCATGTTACCTCCGTTCTTACGATGTAGAAAACAGCTAAAAATGTTCTTAAGATATAAATTTGACAGAACAATTCACCTACAGTACTTTTAGTAATGATGTCTTCTATACATAATATATACAGTGCTGGAATGGTTATTATAATACTTTTTCAGTAAATGAAGGAAGACCACCACTGGAAGGTCTGAGAAATCTCAAGTCATTGGAGATTTGGTTTTGCTTTTGTATTTGATCTTTTGCTAATGAGATATCTGTGAGGAGGGACTCAGTAGCCATCGTTGACCTATGCAGCTGTTGAAAAAAAATCAGATTAGCACTTGAAGGACACAAGAAAGCCCGATCCATCTCAGCACAAGGGATGCCCAGTAGTATTCCAAGAGTCCAGGACAACATACAATGACCTAAAATAAGGACTGCCCTCTTTTCATAAACGCAAAGGCAAGGGCAAGGTCAGTAACTGTGAGAGGCTATATACAGCGGACTATGAAACAATCCCTTTAAACACAAGTTTCACAGGAGACACAAAGAAACAGCCAGGCACCTTGCTTTGCTTTCCCGTCCTCATGCACCCTGGATATGAGCAGCAGTCAAGGGGGCCTCCAGTGGTGTGAAGGGTGGGGGTGAGAGCATCCCGCACACACTCTCTGTCAGCCTTTGGGATGAGAGTGGGTGGGACTGCAGGATGCTGAGCAGCACCTCCGTGCACTGGCCACACCAGGCAGCAGCGTTGTCCCAACCCACCACTGCCAAGCACAGCCGCTGGCACATCTGATCTTGTAAAGTCCACCTGGAGGTAACACAGAGCCCTCTCATGTCAGCCCCCAGCCATGCCAGGAATAGTGAGCCTGACATCATTTTGTGCCAAAGGAAAACAGTGATAGCAGAAAGCACCTTTCTAGAGCTGTCCCTGCCCCATGCAGAGGACAGAGACAGACGCAAATGAGAACGCCAGTTGATACAAGGGGGAGAGGGGAAGCAGGAAGGAGGGAGTGAAGCTCTGCTCATGCTTGTCCGGTCAAACTGCGAGAACCTGGGGCAGAGGATGTCACACTTGTCCCCTGCTCTTCAACATACGGGGTACAAAGTATTTAATGCTATGAGAGCAGGGAGAGTTGTCCTTGTCCAACATAGAGGTTAGGCAAGGCCTCCTGACCAAGTACGTGCACCCTACAGCTTCTACCCTTTTGTCTAATGACAGCAAAAATAAATAATGCAACCAAGACTGACTTCAGTGCCAGGTGGGACTGTCCTGGAAACAACTGATCATTATTACAAGCAGTTATACTTTTGGAGGGTTTGGCTTTGGGAGGCCCTATTCCTCCCATCTCTTCCCTAAGGGTTTTTCCAAGAGATTCTCACTGACTGAGTTACTACTTTGACTCAAATACCTGTTCTGACACTATCCAGATGTTTGCCTACACTGTAGGCTGCAGGTGCAGAGCTGAACTGAACCAGGCTCGGTACAAAGAGCTGCTATATACTGTAGCACAAAGCACTAGCCAAACTAATACCCCAGGTTGGCCATGGCATATTTTATGGAATACAGCAGCTCTTTTCATGCTGACCAGAGCTGTGGGACACATTAAAGTAGCACTGGGTGCATGCCAACAGGCCTCCTTGCAGGGCAGCGTATTAGCTCATGCTTGGCCGCGCATCAGTGCAGCCACGTGCCTGTTGTGTGCATGGAGCCCAGGCAGAACCCCGCATGAAGTATATTACACAACCGAACCCTGTCCAGATAGACCAGCTCCCACAGCCCAGACCAGGCTGAACAGATCATAAAACTCTCTCCATCACCACCACTTTTGTATGTGAGTACCTCAGCATGGAAGAAAAAAACCAAACAACAGAAAGCAAAGCCGTTGCAAAGCCGCACAGGGATATGGTAATGCGTGCTTCAGAGATCTGATATTAAAGATGCGTGTGGGGCCCCCGCAGAAAGTCACCGCGCTCGGCGGGCGCAGAGCTGGGTGCGTGTGTCAGTCTGCACACCCGAGCCTTCCTGCCACGGAGGATTATTTCCCAGTGATTGCTGTTCCTAGGCCTTTGCTCCACTCTGCACATGATATAAACCATGTTGTAAACACATCTGATCAAAGTGTGCATTCACCTTTTATGTGTCTCATCAATGTGTCTTTCCAATGTTTTCTCAGAAACACCACTATGTTTTTATAAATGTACATTTTATATACGCTTCTGGCGATACACTATATTTGACTTTTAAAGGAAGAGAGGCCTTGGCTACTTAATACGAAAGCATGGTAAGGCACTTTGCTGAGAAGCTGTTTGGAACCAACACTCTTTGCAAGGTATAAAGGTATTTATGGTATAAAACAATACTGATGGCAGAGGGCTTGTTTAGAGACCTTAACTAAACCCTACTCTCATCAGAGCAGAATGCATAGTATGGCTTTTATTCTGATCAAAACCACATCCTCCTGTTTCTTTCCGGGATGAGTTGAAAACGGAATTTTTTGCAAACGTAACTAACAAAAAGTGATGGGGAGTGCTATTTACATGGCTGCTAGGGAGGGAGGGTTTTATCTCCAACCATGCTCATGCTGTCTCCTAGCCTGGTGGTGATACCGTTCCGGCTCTGGGAAACCAAGCTCTGGGAAACCAAGCCAAAAAATAATACTAGAGGTGCACCCTTGCGGCGCTGAACTGCCTGGATATAGTTTACATTAATTCTGTACAAACACTTTTTAAAATTTCCATTTTGAATCCCTTTAACGTATTCAATACTCATAAAAAAACAACCTACTCTAATTAAACAGATTATTTTTGAAAAGCACATTCATAAAACTGCTTCAGGTATAGCCCATTGGACAGCACTAAGGCCTCATGCTTTACTGTTATGACATCATGTTTAGAAATTTACTCTCTTCTGCCAGCGTGGTTAGCATGGAGCTCATATCGCCTATTGCCATATTGCTTATTCCTGTGGGTATGGTGGGCAGTGTCAGAGAGTTTCGTGGAGTCGTCAGGCGAGAGGAGTTCTGGGAGAGGTTCTGCAGGATGCTGGGGCTCAGGGTTCCTGACATCAGGCTCGAATGGTCCCCATCGTCCATGATGGCATCGAAATCTATCTGGGGCGGCTCGAGACCTTGCGAGTCCACCGTGCTGGACACCTGGTTTGTGCCCGGTGAGGGCAGAGCCGCCGGCTTGCTGTTCAGCGCGCACTGCTGCTGTCTGACCCGGCAGTCTGCGTGATTATCGAAGCTGCTGTTCTGTTCGTACATGTGGATTTGACCGTAATAGTACATCAAATTATTTTCCCTCGTGCCGTCCGCACACTGCTGGGCTGATGCCGGCAACATGTCACTGGTTCTTTTATGCATGGCCTCTGCTGCCTCCTGACCCGAGCTGATGGTGTTCGCAGGGTGGGCAGTTCTCATGTAGCCCAGCTGCTGGACGGTGCGGAGGCCTCGGGATCTGTTGGCCGGGCTCGGCTCGGGCGGAGGATGAGGCTGGACCATGCCAGGTGGATATGGCTGTGCAGCTGAGCCCATCATGCTCTGCTGAGGCTCAAAGCTGGGCTGGTTAGAGGTCATGACGGGCTGATGAAAAGCCTCCTGAGCCATGGGGAAGTTCAGGTGGGTGAGCTGAGAAGAGTAGCTCTGCTGACTCGGTTCTTGCATGACCTGGCCCAGCATCGTGCGCTCACTGTTGCTGCCGACCATTAAAGAAGGGTCGGTCGCCATGTCCATTTGCTGTGGGTGAAGGTGGGGTGCAGACTTTGCTGCCATGCTGCTACAAGAAGGAGAGATCTGATTTGGATTGCCACTGATTGTACTGGGGCTCAGCATCTGATGAGGTTGGTTATACCCCGCGTGCAAGCCTAAATCGGTGTTCATGCTGGGGCCCAGGTTCATCGGTTGCTGCCGCAGCTGCATACAGTTTAGCCTCTGCCCGTCCATGCCCACATTTCTTTGCATAAAGTTCTGTTGTGTTCCGTTCATGCTGTTGTCTGGCAGCTGCATCTGTTGCTGGTTGTAATTCTGGTACTGACCAAAGTTCTGCTTCTGCTGGACCACTGCTAAGTTCCCTTGTGAAAACTGCTGCTTCGACTGACTGGACATGATATCAACTGTACCTGAGCTGACTTCGTTCCACTGGACGGGCATGTTATTTTTATTCATGTCTGAGGAAGTATCAAAGCTCATGGGACACTCTGACATCATGGGTCCCAAGTGGCTCATGCCCACCTCAGCCACCGCCATCCTGCGCTGGCCAGCCAAGGCTGGAGGCTGCAGCTTCCCGCTTCCCTGGAAGCTCTGCATCTCGTTGCTGTACCCCATGGAAGTGCTCTCGGCTGCCGTCCCATTGCTCTGGGATTTGATGTACTGCACAACGTCATCTGGCAACATAAGGTCGTCATCTCCAACAGGAGCCTCCGTCTCCCCAGTCATGGCTTCCATAGCGATGTTTTCACTGATGCTCACTGGTCGGGGCGAGTAGGTGTGCCGGGGGAGGCTCCCGTCTGAGCGCCCATAGCTCTGGAGGCCAAAATTCCTCCTGTCTGTGGGGTGCGGAGGATGGAAGGGGTTCATGCTGTTGGTGCTGTTGAAGCGATGAACTCGTGGGAGGGCCTGGGGGTCTCCAGCAGGTCTCCTCACAGGGTCGCTCGCCCGTCTCGTGCAGTTGCCCGGCACCTCATGGGGAAATGCTGCAGCTGATGGGTAGCCATAGCTGTTACCATCACTACAACGCCTGGGTCCTGGAGGGAGGCGGATGGAGGGTAAGGTGGGGTCTGGCCCATCCATAAGCGAGATCCTGTTCTTCAGGGTCATTCTCTCCATGTTTGGAAGGGGAGTCGGAGGAGGGCCCCCTGTAGCAGCAGCATACTTAGCTTTCAGCCTGTAGTGTTGAGCTGGTGTGAGGGTCAGCAGCCCCGGCATGCCGCTGCACTGGCTCGCCT